CCTGGCTGGATGTAACTCTGTTATAATTAACCCTAGGTCCTAGATAAAATCTAATGCATGCGGAGAAAACTGTTCTGTTTCATATTCCAAGAAGTTGGAGAGTCAGAAACTGAACACAGATTTTCTACTGGACAGCAAGGCACTGCTGCCCTGTGGCAACTTGTATTTGGAGTACAATGTTGTCAGATAATCTGATTATAGCTGATGATAGGAAATTATTTTCTCCTGTTCATTTGAAGCGCTGATTAAGTAAAAACAGTTTAGAGGCTCACAAGGTTTCATCTCTTGATTTTTTTTCCTGTTTTTTTTTTTTAAATTTCAAGTAAGGAAATGTGTAAGTTGATGTCAAATTTTTTCCAAGACTTGGGAGAATTAATTCATGTTCTGTTTTTACTGCACAATACAGTAACTTTAGACATGGCAATACACTTTTTCTCCTTCCTCTGAATGTGATACTTTTACAGTAGCTGTCTGCGTGTGGTTGTTTGAAAGCATAACCTATGGTAGGATAATAACTTCACTTACTAAGCAAGGGATGAATTTACGAAGAGTATGAACTTTTCGTTGAGATGCATTTGTTTTGCAATATATACCAGGAAAGGAAAAATTAGTCTTAAGGATAAGTGTATGTTATTTACTTTCAAGTGCTAATCCTGACCTTAGCGTCATGCCTTTCTTAAGTGAATACTACATTACCTTTGACTAGCTCTGCTACTTTGTTTTTCTTTTTAAAGGATAGCATTTCAAAAAGTATTTTCTTTAGAAATTCTATCCGTTTAAATGAGACGCACAACGCTAAGGTTGTAGGGTTTTTTTGGATCAAGTTTTGTATTGCTATAGACTTATTATTCCTTCTTTTACTCATGCACTTTTGCAAAAATTTTGAAAATGATCAAGAGGAAGGTATGTTTTAGTCCACAATGTAGAGGTGGCTCTGCTGACAAACAGTTACCTTAGTCAGTTGAGTGTGGCGCTAACAACACCAAGGTTGTGGGTTTGGTTCCTGTTTGGTCCCCACGTGTTGCCTGATCTAGTCAACAGGTGGCATCCCTGGCAACAGGGAGGCTGGATTAAAATGATCTCTAAGATCCCTTCCAGCCTAGGCCATTCTATGATTCTATGATAATACCATCTACCATCTGACTTAGTGTGCTCCTTTAAAGCAAGTCTTTTCTGTCCTATGGCAGGAAAAGGGAATAAAATAAATAATGGTAGATTTTAATTTTCTTATTTTGACCTGCATGAATAATGGACACACTTTGCATGTTCTTTTCCCTCCCAACTTCGTATTTTGTTAAGGTGAGCAGATTATTAATGTTTCTTTTTGTTCTGTTGGGTTTGCTTAACTTTAGTTATTAAAAATAATCATCATGGCACGGCTGAGCCATGTCCTTCAACCCTCTTGAGCTTCCTGGGTTTTCAAATAAAATCACAAATGAAAGAAAGCAGCATATTTCAGAAGATTCTTGCACAGCTGTGCGTAGTTGCCATGAAGAAACACTGTTCTTTTTGCATTGATATGTGGGATGTAAAATACATTATGAAGAGATAAAGACTTGAGCATTTTTGGTGAAAATAGGTAAGAGTGCTATTATCCTGTTAACCTTTGTGTAGATAGCTTTTCAAAGCACAATCACTGCAGAGTGACCTAGTGACATACTTTCAGGAACGTCTCACTTGTCACTTAAAAATGCAGCTACCCAAAAGTCAATTCAGTGTTAAAAGTGAGGAATAGGAACTGACACGATTAATGCTTTATGATGTTAGAATTAGGCTTTCTAGTTTGAAAGGAGGTTATCAAATAGATTCAAATTGAAAAATACAGGTTATTTTCTTGCCAAATCATGGACAATACTTAGTAACTACAAGAAGATGGAGTTTTGTTTCAGTCATCTAAATCCAGTCATGATGTCAACACATAATCCTAAACGTAATCTTTATGTGAACCACATCAGGCCTGCTATCAGAAAGCTGCTATCCTACAATTTTATTGTAAAAGAAGTGAAAATTGGTCTATCTAGGTATAATTCAGAATGGAAAACTTGCTTGTATAGCCCTGGTTGAGAAGCAGGAGAGTGGTTCAGCTGGAGTGCATGAATGGGAGGTTCCTTTTCAGCTTGGATAAGAACCTCTTTTTGGCCTCTTTTTAAATTTAACACTTAAGCTTCAGACTGTTAAACATTTACTGTCCTATTTTTGCTGTCTTGATAAGATCAAAAGTCTTGGTACTGGCATAAAAGTACCTTTCTAATAAGGATGTAAGTAAGCATGAAAGAACGTGACACCAGGTATGTTGATCCCATAAGAGGAGAGGAGAGGGATGCATGAGAGTATCTAATGATAATGCCATAGACAAAGTATATCAGCTTCAACATTTTCTGTCCATCATCTCTGTTCCTCACAATTTGAAATTTATCTCCCTGTCGGTGAGCTAGAGAAACAGTTGCTAAATCACACACTGTAGCGGTAGGCTTGAGCCCACAGCAGAATCATAGAACAATTTCGGCTGGAAGAGACCTTCAAGGTCATCAAGTCCAACCTTTTCCTAGCCCATGTCTTTCGATGCTACATCTACCCTTCTCTTAAATACCTCCAGGGATGGTGACTCAACCCCCTCCCTGGGCACTCCGTTCCAATGCCTGACAACCCTCTCAGTAGAGAAATTCTTCCTAATATCCAAACTGAACCTCCCCTGGCGCAACTCAAGGTCATTTCCCCTTGTCCTGTCAGTCACCACTAGGGAGAACAGACCAACCCCTGCCTCGCTACACCCTCCTTTCAGGTAGTTGTAGAGACCGAGAAGGTCTCCCCTCAGTCTCCTCTCCTCCAGGCTAAACAGCTCCAGATCCCTCAGCTGTTTTTCGTATAACATATGTTCCAAATCTTTCACCAGCTTGGTAGCCTTCCTCTGTACCCTCTCCAGCACCTCAGTGTCCCTCTTTTAGTGAGGGGCCAAAAACTGGACACAGCACTCGAGCTGAGGCCTCACCAAAGCTGAGTAGAGGGGCACGATCACTTCCCTGGCCCTGCTGGACGCAGTAAAATTCCTGATCCAGGCCACCTGGGCACACTGCTGGCTCTTGTTCAGCTGGCTGGCCATCAACACCCCCAGGTCCCTCTCTGCCTGGCAGCTCTCCAGCCACTCCTCCCCAAGCCTGTAGCGCTGCTGGGGGTTGTTGTGGCCGAAGTGCAGGACCTGACATTTGGCCTTATTGAAACTTTCATGCAATTGGCCTTGGCCCAGTGATCCAGCCTGTCTGGATCCCTCTGCAGAGCCTCCCTACCCTCAAGCAGATTGACACTTCCACCCAGCTTGGTGTCACCTGCAAACTTACTAAGTGTGCACCCTGTCCCCTCGTCCAAATCATTATAAAAATGTTTAACGGGAGTGGCCCCAGTACTGGGTCCTGGAGGACACCACTCGTGACCGGCCACCAACTGGATTTAACTCCATTGGCCACAACTCTTTGAACTCAGCAATCTAACCAGTTTTTTTCACCCAGCAAAGGATATGCCCATCCAAGTCAAGAGATATGGACCTAATTTTCACATGCACCATGTAGGGCAAGTGCATTTGGGCCAATGTGGAAGGGAAGGGACTGTTGGTGTCCAGGCAGTATCAGGGAGCTGGCGGCTGCTCACTGTGGCTCATCCCTGAGGATCATGGCCAGCGGGGAGGGATCGGGGCAGGCTGTGCGTAGTTGTGCCTCTGTGTTGCTAGTGATTTGCAAACCTTGAAATTCCCAGGATAAAGATGGAGCTGGAAGAAACCACGTAAAGGTAACATGACTGGGTTGAAAAAGTACCTGAAACTAGTAATTGACATAAAAAATTTTCAGTTTTTCAGAAAACAATTAGAATTGCTGTAATTGAAGTGGAACAAGATCTGTAGACTGATGTGTAAAATGATGTTTTTCACACGGAGAGTTGTGAAAAACCCTTGAGTTGAGTTCCTATTCCTCATCTCGTGAATTTTAGCTGAGCTAACTTCATACCCAAGGAACTGAGGGCTTTTTCATTTCAAATATTAATTTCAAATATTTTTTCTTTGATCTTGTATTTAAAAACTACTTTTGTAGCAGTCAATTTTAGCTATGGGGAAATGCAATTTTTATGCACGATTCATGGCAAAATGGGTTTTCAGTTATCTGGAATACACAGCTGCTTTGTACCATTATCATTAAACACTTGGCTGAAATGTCTGTATTGTTGTTTTAACATTTGGTGTTCTGTCTTGGGAATGGGTGGTGCTTCTTAATCTGCTTCTACTTAAATCTTGGTGAAGAGAGACATATTTTGTTGTGATGTAAGGTTTCAGATTATTTATTGGCACAGCTCTTCCCAACTGAAAAAATATTTACTGGTGGGAAGGCAGGATACTACTGGAGTATTAGCTTACTTTGTCTTCAGCCTGTTGCCCAGCACATTAGAGATGGTGGAGCATGATGCGTGTCGTTACTTCCTCCAGCCTGCCTGGTGGGAATCCACCTTGCTCTCCAGGGAGCACTGGGCAGTCAGTTGCCCTGACCACACGTTCCTTGCTGTGGGTGTCACCTTGACCTTCTGGCTGTGGCTACCTGTAGCATCTGGTTGCTGTCAGATGTGCCCTCTCTGCATGGACTGTGCAGGTGCACTTGCTAGTGAGATTGGATGGGTGGAAGCTGGAAGGACTTAGGCTTAGACTAGATATAAAGAAGAAATTCTTTACCCTGAGGGTGGTCAGGCAGTGGAACAGGTTGCCTAGGGAAGTTGGGGATGCTCCATCCCTGGAAGTGTTCAAGGCCAGGTTGGGTGGAGCATTGCGCAACCTGATGTAGTGGGAGATGTCCCTGCCATGGGAAGGGGCTTAGAACTAGATGATCTTTGAGGTCCCCAAATCATTCTATGATTCTGTGTGATGATTTCATAGGTCTTTCCCATCTCTAGTGTCTGTGATTTGTTTCTGATGTAAGAGGTAAGCCTGCACATGGCTCTCAAGGCTCACTGCTTGCTTTAGTGACTTACAGGCAGTCAGAAGAGAGCAGGTTATGGCAGGAGAGGGAAAAAAAGCATGGGAGGCGTGAGTATGACTTCTTGTGAATGAAACCACAAGATGCTGATGGAGATCGTATAAATCTCTTCCAAGGACACCCAAAACTCTGTAAACAACTGTTTTACTTTCAGTGGATGCACTCTCCCAGTCAAACAAGTTTCTGGATATAACTTTTTTAAAATACAGGGGGGGGAGAAAAAAGATAAATGAAGTCTTTGTGACATATACTTCGTTGACTCTCCAGGAACTATTTCAATAGTTGAACGTGAAATGCTTGCTTATGGCAAGAGAGTCACAGTTGTATCTGTGCCTTTTGGTTTTTTCTTTACATTTACTTTCTTTGTGAAATAAGGAAAAGGAAATCATGGTGGGGAAGGCTGTGAGATCAGTGTGTCTTCAACCCATAGGACAACTGTTCATTGCCGTGTGATAAAACGTTTTTCATGGAGGAGGTGAGACAGGGCAATGAGATGAAAAGTTCAGGTGGTTTTCTGATATGCTTATGGGTATGTGTGATGTTAGCCATCCAAGCTAGTGTTAACATTGGCTTTAAAAATGATTATGTTCAGCTGTTAACAACATTTTTGGATATTGTGATCGGTAGTCATAGAGATGAGTATTTGGTCAGGTCAGTTTTTTTCTGGCATTGTAGTTACATTGGATCAATTCTGTCATAAGTATGTTGACTGAACATTTGTCAAAATTATTACTTGTTGCATACAACTCTCAACCGATTTATAGTTTCACGATGCTAAGTGGTGTGCAGAGCTCTTAGTCCTTGTCCCAGAGGCTTTTCATGGGAATGGGAAGACACATCTGACTTTTAGTATTTGAGTTATAACTGCTAGAATATGAATCTTTTTTTCTTGCCAAAAAAAAAAAAAAGGCTGGGTTCATATAACTGAGAATAATCACTGCTTTTTTCTATGTTGATGATATTGACTGTTACGGCAGAGACTGCCTCTTTTTACAGGGACAAACGTGTCTTCAGCATAGCATTCTTGGTATGCAAGTCATGGCAACATCTTCTGTATTCAAAAATGCTTGCAGATTCCTCAGTGTGATTTGACCTGACGCTGGTCAAACATTATGACTTATGTGGCCTTCTAGGAGTGGCATGTAAGCCGATATTCTCACCAGACGTAGGAGTGTAAGCGATTTGGATAAGGCTGAATGACTGTGGAGACTGTACATTTGCAGGCAATCATAGGAGTGTTGCAGGACTTCTGAGTGAAGCCTGAATCAGCTCATTGCATTAGTCATTTGTCAAGCAAGTAAATCTTCTCCCACACTGTTGGCTTCATTTCCACATATGGATCTCTAAGGAGGATTAGGCCATCCTTATGTCCTCTGAGAGGAAGATGGAGCTTTTTTAGCTTTCTGCAATTTCTGCCACAGTTATGCTCTTTTCCCCTCCTGGATGCTCAACTGTGCCAAAAATCTGCTATCCTGACAGGATTTGTAGCTGTTCTTTCTTGGCAGGAGTGTCAGGCAGGGTTGCGTCAGAGTACTTTTGGCCAAAAAAGAAGCTGGAACACTTGTCAGTCACAAATCCATTCGTAGAGATGCTCACCAAGTTTGTGACACTTAGTATTAATTCATATTTTTTCAAAATATTTCCAAAATCGCTGTATCTCTCAAATACATTTTACATTCAAGCTTGAAGCAGTGCTCTAGTGCGTTTTACTTTTTTAGTGGATCTTTATATATCTACCTCTGGTGCTGTCACTTAGCTCGTGGTGATTCTCATAATTGGTTCATGGCCCTGTTACAGAGGAGGGAGGAAAGGAAGACACATGTCTTTCATTATAAGAAATTTCATAGTAACCATTTTTGCTCCAACATCTGTCAGGTTGAACTAAATCAGAGGCACTGATTAGCAAACATGAACTGAGAAAGAAAAAAATGCTTTAACTGGTATTCTTCAAAGGCATTGATGTTTGCAGATCAGGTCATCTTGCATTCCTGTCAGCTGGCCTGGTTTTCTACTGCCAGATAATCTGACTGTACTCTTTATAATTGCCTATTTACTGTCTTTCAACCCTTCTCTTTCTTAAGTCTCCAAGCTATCTTGTTGGACAGGACTTTAAGGACCACCAATAAGGCTTTTTTTCTGAAAGTATGTAATCCCCATTCAATATTATTGGTGCTGACTCTGACCCCACTTGCCTGATTTCACAGTTTGTTTACTTGACAAATGCTATTTTTCTTAAATTTCCTGTGAGGTAAGAATCAAGTAATAAATTTGGTCGTTTTTTAATTGTTTGCAAATACTTTACTCAGAAGACTTTTGCTGTGTAAGCCTGAGTATTATAAGATGCTTGTTCAAGGATATGTTTCTCACTTTAAATGGTTTGGTTTTTTTCTGGGGGGGTGTTTTGGGCTGTCTCTAGCTTCAGCATGCAGATGTGGTGATAGTTGGTGGTACAAAACCTGATGATGTCCCTTGGAGCTGGATGAAGCCTGGAACCACCATCATCAGTTGTTCTCGTGACTTGCAGTCAGGTAAGATGTGTTAAAAGATAACAGTTCTTGAAGGTGATGTGTGGCAAGAGTTTGAAATAAGTATGTGGCATGTTGGTGGCAACACAGTGTGGTCTAGCAAAAAACATGTCTTTGGGAGCGGACGTTTAAAAGTGGGTGTTTGTGTACAAGGATCGTATACGCCTATCTCTGTTGTATAAATAGGAAAACTATGTCAGGTGAGGAAAGAAAGTCTGGAGTAAATTCTTCATACCGGAATTATTAAATAAGTGATGATCATATGACTTCAAAGAATACAGAGGGAGGACTTTTGGGTCATCAGACAAGCTATTACTTACTGCTGTTTTGTACAGTGTGGACTTGCCTGGAACACGGGAAAAAGAGGGGCTAAAATATCAGCTGCAAAATGCTGTGAAGCTGAGTGCAGAAAATGGTGCAAGAGGTAATAGAGAAATGCAGTGTAGCTAAGAATGGGCAGAATGTCTCCTGCAGTAATTACTTCTACAAAGAGTTTGGATTCCCCTCCCTCCTCCTCTCCTGACTAATTGGAGAGGTGTATATGTTTGTTAATTTCTCAGTTGAAAAATGCTACAGAATTTTATTAAGAATAAAACTAAGAAAGCGTCCCGGAAATCATTCTGTTCTACTTTTACCATAAAATTCCTCGGAGTCCTTTGAAGGTCTCTAGATATTTTCTAGACTTTTCATATATATGTCAATTTGACCGTTCATAGAATCATAGAACAGTTTCAGTTGGAAGAGACCTTCAAGATCGAGTCCACCTTTATCCTAACCTTTCCAACCATGTCCTTCGACGCTACATCTACCCGTCTCTTAAACATGTCCAGGGATGGTGACTCAACCACCTCCCTGGGCAGCCTGTTCCAATGCCTGACAACCCTCTCAGTAAAGAAATTCTTCCTAATGTCCAACCTGAACCTCCCGTCGCACAACTTAAGGCCATTTCTCCTCATCCTATCACTCGCCACCAGGGAGAACAGACCAACCCTTGCCTTGCTACACCCTCCTTTAAGGCACTTATAGAGAGCGATATGGTCTCCCCTCGGTCTCCCCTTCTCCAGGCTAAACAGCCCAGATCCCTCAGCCGTTCCTCATATGACACATGCTCCAAATTCTTTTACTAGCTTGGTAGCCTTCCTCTGTACCCTCTCCAGCACCTCAGTGTCCCTCTTGTAGTGAGGGGCCAAAAACTGGACACAGCACTCGAGCTGAGGCCTCACCAAAGCTGAGTAGAGGGGCACGATCACTTCTCTTGTCCTGGTGGACACAGTATTCCTGATCCAGGCCAGGATGCCCTTGGCCTTCTTGGCCACCTGGGCACACCGCTGGCTCTTGTTCAGCTGGCTGGCCATCAACACCCCCAGGTCCCTCTCTGCCTGGCAGCTCTCCAGCCACTCCTCCCCAAGCCTGTAGCGCTGCTGGGGGTTGTTGTGGCTGAAGTGCAGGACCCGGCGTTTGGTCTTATTGAAACTCATGCAATTGGCCTTGGCCCAGTGATCCAGCCTGTCTGGATCCCTCTGCAGAGCCTCCCTACCCTCAAGCAGATCGACACTTCCACCCAGCTTGGTGTCACCTGCAAACTTACTAAGTGTGCACCCTGTCCCCTCGTCCAAATCATTGATAAAAATGTTTAATGGGAGTGGCCCCAGTACTGAACCTTGGCGGATGCCATTCATGACCAGTGTCCAGATGGGATTATTCTGTGAATGAATAGGAAAACAAGGAAGCACATTGGTAGTGTGATTGGCTAATACGTTTTTCTTAGTCTATCACAAGTGTACTTATTCACATCTATTGATACAAAACTAGGGAAATGGACATAAGGCCAAGGAAAACTAATTATGTTGCTCTTAAACTAGGGATATTCTTTAAGAATAAATTAGGCAAACACTCTATGCAGAGCTAATGCAAGATCAGGCTCATAATAAAGCAGCTGCTGTTCCTATGCAAAGCATGGCCTTAGCAAGAGATTCCTTTCCTTGTCTTTTGTCATACCCTTTAGAATTGAACACACGCTGTGGGTGTAGGAGATCTGGGTTATTATTCGTTCAATTGTCTGAAGGCATTTGGGCATTCATCTTCTACCTCTCAGAAAAGTGCTCTGATCCTAATGAGGATCTCAGGGGTGGGTACCAAACCTCTTCCCTTGCCAATGTTGCACAAGTTGTCGATAAATAATGCATGTTTTCGTTTTCCTAGCCTATTGATTAGGAGACTCCTTGCATTTGTAATGCCCACTTGTTTTGCATAGGGATTGATATTTGTTAAGTAATTGTGTCTTAGAACAGATACTCAACCTACTAGTAACACAGATACTCTCCTGTAAAGGAGGAATGGGGAGAAAAGGAAGGCGGCAGAAAAGAGAGGATATGGTGGTACAGTAATATCACCTATGAATCATAGAATCATAGAACAATTCAGGTTGGAAAAGACCCTTGGGATCATTGAGTCCAACCATTAACCCTACACTACAAGTTCACCCCTAAACCATATCACCCAACACCCCATCTAAGCGACACTTAAACACATCCAGGGATGGCGACTCAACCACCTCCCTAGGCAGTCTGTTCCAGTGTCTGACCACTCTTTCCGTGAAGAATTTCTTCCTAATGTCCAGCCTAAACCTGCCCTGTTGCAACTTGAAACAATTCCCCCTGGTTCTGTCCCTAGTTACCTGTGAGAAGAGACCAGCACCAACCTCTCTACAATGTCCTTTCAAGTAATTGTAGAGCATCATGTGGTCCCCCCTCAGCCTTCTCTTTGCCAAACTGAACAGACCCAGCTCCCTCAATCGCTCCTCATAAGGTCTGTTCTCCAGGCCCTTCACCAGCTTTGTTGCCCTCCTCTGCACTCGCTCCAACACCTCGATATCCCAAAACTGAACACAATGCTCAGGGTGCGGCCTCACCAGTCTGTCCGGGTCCCTCTGTGGAGCCTTTCTACGCTCCAGCAGATCGACACTCTCTCCTGGCTAGGTGTCATCTGCAAACTTGCTGAGAGTGCACTCAATCACCTCATCAAGATCATTGATGAATACGTTAAACAGAAATAAAGAAGAAATAAGTTAAGATAAATAAGTTAAAAGGAATAAATAAATTAAAAGGAGTGACCTCTCCTTATTTTAATCCTTCTAAGCAGAAACCTCTCAGGTGTCAGATTCAGAGTAGAGGTGCAGGTCTATGAAGGCAGGATGGGAGTAAGCCAATCCTGGCAGCCTGAGCCGGCATCGCTTATGACTGAGATCTCCCAGCTCTGTTGCCCGCCTGGTGCAAGTCCTACTTTCAGATATCGTCACTCTTTCGATTGCAGAGGGAGTCTGGGTCTTCAGAGACCAGTTTAACTGCATGCCATGTCTTGAGACTAAAGTGTCTTCATGCCTTAGTTGCTCTGTAGAACTATAGATAATAATAGTGTTTCCCTTCTCTAAAAGAAAGCTGTTGGGAAAACTGCATTAAAACATTTGAGTGATGTTCACACACCACAGCAACATTCATACTTAAGGCAGGAAATGTAACATTTGGCATAAGCATGTAGATTTCTTTGCATTTTTCACGTTGTAGCAGTGGGCTGTGCTAAGTACAGCATTTCTGTGGAAAGGCAGCATGAGATTTTTAGCAAGATAATTTAAGTAGAATTATCTACCAATTGTTCATCTGCCTTTATGGGTGGGGTTTTTTTAAGATTGTCAGTGACTTGGAGGAACTCTGAGAGAATAGCAGAAATGCATTTTAGCAGCTTTAAAAAATGCTTGCCAGAAGGCTTACTAGAGAGGTACATGACACACAGGTATCTGTTTGACAGGAAGAATGCACTTAGTTTAATTGCGAGATATTTATTAAAAGCCTGTCATGGAGCAGTCATGACCTTGGAGAAAAACTGAATCTTATAACTGACTCTTCACTTTCAGTATGAGGTGGAATCTGGCTGAGGCGCTCGGAAATTGTTCTGGGTTTTTTCTTGCTTTATAAATGTCCAACTTAACATCTGTGGGGTCACAGGAGCTCAAAGAAGCCTGAAAGCAGTGATGGCCATGAAATAATTTTTATTCTTGCTAGATGATGGTTAGTTTTCTATCTTATGGAGGTACACATATAGTCCGACACACATGCATGTTTTAAAAGCACTCAAAATTTGCAGGGATATAGCTGAATTGGGCAGCTGTAATGATGTAAACAAGAAGAGTAGAACTAAAAGTCTTGCTCCAAAGTGACAGAATTATTTTTCAAGTAGTTTTTTGGTCTGATCAGAGATTTTAAAATTATCATAATTCTAAAGAGTTCTACAATTTCTAGCAGTGCAACGTCTTATTTTTCTGCACCTTGATTTTTGAATCAAGTGAGTGCTGGTGGTGTCTTGCAGAAAGATACTTCCTGAACAAAACTTTGGGATGCCAAAATTAATTGGGATTTAATGTCCAGCTCCTTTGGGGTCACTGGAAAACTGAAGGCCTGTGTGGTTTAAGTATGTTACTGGGAAATTCGACCATTTTCCCACCTCTACTCTATTCTAAGCTACCCGAGCAGACAGGTAGCACACAACAGCAACTCTCACCCATCTGCACAATAGGATACAAGTAGATGGGCCTTCATTTGGATGAGTCAGAGGAGGGAGCACAATGTCTGCAGTTCAGCTGATCTTCTGGCCATAATCCAAAGCAGAGAGTGCTATTACAGCCCCCATCTGGAAAATTTATCTTGAGAGAGCTGTTGCAATCCTGTGATTGTCTTGCTAGCTTGTGTGTGCATGACTTTCACCTCTAGCTTCGTCTTCACCCCTGTAAAAGCCTGATTCGTCATTTGTGGGGTGAGTGTGTAGCGTAGGCAGCCTGAGAGAAGTAGTTTACTGAAGGGAAATGTCTAATTCTGATACGTATTTATACACACGCTAGCTCTGCCCTGATAAAGAAGTCATATTGAGCCAAATAACATAAAAAGTCAAAATGTTTCTGTAAAGCACAGCTGTCTGAAAGGGGATTTTAAACTTCATTCTTTCTACTTCATTTGTCTCTTTGGCAGCTCTCCCAGCCTGGTCTCAAAGCAACAACAGTTGACTTATGACTGTGATAGACTGTTCAGTAAAACTCTTCTGTATGAATCTAAAACAGAGAATCTCCAGAAGAATATATTTCTGTTGTTGTTTTTTATTTAATGGCAAATGGTAATGCAAGTAGAAGACTTTTCAGACACTTTCTTAATTGGAGTATCAGGACTGTCACGTTCTGCTAGATTAACTTTGTGGCTGACATACAGACATGATGGTGAGAAAGTTTGAGAAAGGCTTAGAAAACGTACTGAATGAGGCTGAGGGTATCTGCAGAAGGGTCTCTTGCCCTCTTGGTGATGGTTGTGAGAGAGTGGGCTGGAGCTGGGCGCGGGCTGGTGAGGTGCTGGGCTGGCTCCTCTGCACCCCTCTGCCTGCCACTCTGGCCCCAGCCTGAAGTTTCCTTCCTTGCCCTGATACCACTGGGACTTGTGTGAGGCAACAGGAAAAGTTTTACGGTCAGTGCAGATGGGATGAGCAGAGTGAAACCTCGACCACGCCAGGGTTTGCACTTCAGTTTCCCTGTGGGGGAAAGGTTAAAGCTGTCAGCATACGATTGTTATTTTTTATTACATCTACACCCTTCGGAATGTGACTAGGGCCTTGATATGCCCATAGAGACTGGGATGTGAGTTTTGGAGAAATTATGTTCAGACAAAAGTCAGTAAGCAGCAACAGAAGAACAAGCCAGATGAAGGATTACAGGAAAATGACAAAACACTCTATTCAGTTAGGGTAGCTAATGTGTGATTACTGTATGATATGTTGCCACTAGAAACAAATATAACTGTCCCTAAAGTTAGAGTCACTCTGAATTGTGTAGACTCTTTAGAATATCTGCTTTTAGCGTCACATCGATGAAGATAATTTTTGCTGCTCCAAAGGTTTTGCATATCCAGATTCCAGGTTACAAATCCCGTTGGATAATAAACCTGTATAGCATTTTGTGATCATTTCATTATTCTTTCTTGCTGTAATGAATGTGTCTAAAAACACAGGTGTTCTGTTTAAAAATACGAAATAAATATGGCTTTTCAAATTCTCACCGCTGACTGGCTGCTTTTTTTTAAAAAAAAATCCAAAAGCAATTATTTAGATCCTGAAATTAATCTCTGCTTCTTTATTTTCTTTTTCAAGTATGTGTATGCTTCATCATCTGCGTGTTTACGTTTGTGTAATATACTTCAGAGCATACAGTTGCTCTCTGAATTTCACTTTATATTGATCCTCCTGGGGGATTTAATTGGATTAAAGAAGCCACTATAATTTTGTCAGTGACATTGTTAAATTTCAAGTCAACATTCAGAAATTTTTTGACATAGCTTTCAAATACACATGCTCCCACCCACAAAAGCTTTGTGATTTATTAATGCAATGGTTCTGTTTTACAGAGAAACACAACTCTGGTCAGCAAAACAGCCATGCTGCTGAAAACACTGTTGGTTCTCTTGCAATAGCAATGCGAATGCAGGTTAGTGTTAACTTCAGACATTGTAAATTTGTTGCTTATTCTGTAAGTTGTAGAAGTTGCTTCTACAGTTTAGATGTTAACTTTTGTCTTGCTCTTTTGAATATCTTACCTGCCTTCTATTTGTATAACAAGTCTTAGTTAGGGTGAGCTATGCCTGTTGCATTTAGTACAGAAAAGTAAATTAAAAATCAAACACATCATAATTCTGATGATTACAGTAAAGCTTTGGCAGAAGCACTTGTATCAATAGGCTGATGTTCCTTATTCTGTAAGAAGATTAATTACAGCCATGCAAGTTTTTGTGGAGTGATGGATGGAGGGTCCAAAAGTTTGGTTTGTGTGGAAGCAGCATGAGTCAGTGAACAATTTATTTCTTCCATCATTTTTAAGATGTGAGAGAAGAATAGTCATCCTTCATCTTATGAGAATACAATCTCCAAGTGCCTAATTAGAGACTTTTCTCAGTCACTTACATGTTAATGGTCTTGTTTCTTTTTGAAATGTGGACAAACAACAGGACAGTAATAGTGCAGTGGCTTTTCTTTCATCCTAAAACTGTGAAACAGGAAGATTTTTAAGTTTGGGGTTTTTTTGTTAGCCTTTGCTGTAGAACCTCTTTCAACATACTCTTGAGATCATTTGAAATTAGTGTTCAGCATTTATGATGCAGCTGGTGTGTGCTGTTTTCTTCTTTAAAACCAGAACATGGTGAAAAACATGGAGCGATGGATCCAGTCCCAGCAGTGCAGGAAGTGGGACCTCCGGTGCTTGAAATTGCAGCCCCGCTCCCCAGTGCCAAGGTAATAAGTTCTTTTTAAAATTTAAAAAAAAAAAAAAAAGAGTAGGCTAGTGTTCAATGTGACAACCTAAAAATGGTCCATGCCCAATTAATTTTTAGTCTGCTTAAGTAGACTACATGTTGTGCTGTTCTTTTGTGTGCCTCATTGTGACCATGTACTTCTGTTTCCTATAATTTTTCACTTTTATTATATGCAGTGGAGCCAAGCTTTGTTTAATGAAGACTTAAAGCTGGAAGGTTTCATTGAGGGAGGGACATGAAGCCTTGTGTAACATCAACAGAAATACAAAATACAAGAATTTTCTAATCACTAAACGATAATGTAGAAAGGTGTTTATGGATCTAGTTAAGGCCCAGTGGTTTCAATGGCATTTGATCTTATATTTATTTCCTTCCCTTGGTAGAAATACCTTCTTCTGCGTTAGCCTTTTAAATTCCTCTGTAGATATGAAAAGCAGGAAGCGTATTTATTCTCACAGCCAGAATCTTTTCAGCTAGTCTCTGTCATTCACTCCCCAAGGCCTGTGTCTGAGCTGCAAGGATTTTAGGCGTGCCTTGGAGGAAAGAGTTGAGAAAAAGTTTGGGGCTTTTTTGTATGTCTGCTCCTGAGCAACGCAGGTGCTGAAGACACCTGAGGTAGGAAGAAAGCCAGAGAGAGCTGAGACTGCTCAACATGGAGAAGAGAAGGCTCAGGAGGATCTTATCAATGTGTAGAAACACAATGTATATAAATATAAGGGCACAAAGGGTACGAAGAGAACAAAACCAGGGTCTTTTCAAGCGGTTCCCAGTGACAGGACCAGAGGCAATGGCCACAAACTGAAACACAGGAGATTCCCTCTGAACATCAGGAAACGCTTTTTTACTGTGAGCGTGAACAAGTGCTGGTACGTATTTCCCAAGGATATTGTGAGGTCTCCTTGCAGATGTTCAAAAGATGTCTAGATACGGTCCCAGAAAACTAATGGCCCTGGGTGTCCCTATGTGAGCAGCAGTGGTTGGACCAGACAACCTCCAGAGATCCCTCCCAACTTCAACTACTCTGTGAATCTGTAATTCCGAATGCTGCTGTTTTTGAAAAACTGTTTATAAGCTGTTTTTTACTGTTTTTGGAAAGCTGTAACAAAATGTTTTCTTTGATTCAATTTTCACTGTTTCTTACAACAGTTTAATGGGAATGGATGCAATTGTAATTAAAAACAGAGATGGCAAAAGAATGGGTTTTCTATTGCAACCGAGGGCACAAGAGGGAAGAAATGCTTGAGCTTTTCCTGCGCCGGCATGTAACATTTCTAGAATTAAAGCCTGAAAAATCTATCCTTAATTAAGAAAGTTAAAAGGTAGATTAAATCATCCTGAGTGTAATAGTGAAAAAACTCTTAGAAAAATTATTCCTAATCATCTTTATGACATTATATGTTCAGTACTTAAATATTTACGTAATTAATACATAATAGCATATAAGCAGTAATAGGATTTCCATCTATAGCTATAGCTTTATGTCTTTCTTTCTTCTCAATGTAAAATAGCTCATTAGATGGGAACCATCCTGCAATAAAATGCAATCTTACAGTAATACACCATGTTGTGTGGAAACAGACGTTTTCATTGAAAATGAGGCAAAGCTGCTTAAGCACTAAAACTAGGAACATCTGCTTTTTAAATTCTGTGAGATCTGGGTGTTAACTGAAGTATTTCCAAAGATTTTGGGAATGGAATGGAAGGTTTTCTTAAAAATACGCAGTTTAAGAAAGAAATTTCCAGCTTGCACAGGCTGAGTAGATGTAGAGCCTTTTCCTATCCTTTAAGTTTTACTATATTTTGTAGATTGGGACTTAGCATTTTCAGTGCTGGACTTCTCGCTTAAAATTTCTCATTAATGCAGAAGAACCACTGCTGCATTTTTCTAGCAATATTGTATAACGTAAATTAGGGAAAAATCCTGGTATTTCAGAGTTGTTGAACTAAAAGAGCTAGCTGCAAATGTAGACTTCTAAATGCTAGCTGTAATCAAATCTTTAATTTCTCGTGTTTTAGAAAACCCTTTTACCAGAAATAATGTGTAAACATTCCATATGTGTTGCTTAGCCCCAGTAGTAGTTAAGATATAAATGTAAATTCATTGTGAATTTATGCTTTATTTATAACTTTATTGCATGTATCAATGTACAATCTGGCATTTACAGTATTCTCAAAGAATTGCAGGCAATTAAGTTGGCACAACTTAATTGATCATTTGCTGGTAGATGCAGAACAGCCAAAGTCCACACAAAGTTGAGATCTGGCAGCAGTTCTCTGTTCATCTGTGGGTGTTTGAGGTCTTGCAGACTGTTTGAAAGTTCAGAACATAAGCTTTGATGCCATTGCCAGATTTTATCTTAAAAATATTGTAATCAACTGAAACTGCAGGAAGGAATTTAGGCTGGTTAGGCTGAAAGTAATTAATCTCTTAGCAGTTTTACAACTGACTTTTGTGGTGATGTGAGCAATTCAAAGCCCAAGGAGACAATTCCTCACATCTTGTGTGCTGGAGCCTGGACTATACTGCCACAGGAGCTTACACCTGCTAAATGCTTATATGGACAGAAGGGGCCACTGGCTCATGATCACAAACAAAAAAATCGGTGAAGGAGTATTAAATCGAAAGATCCCAGGTGGTCTAGGTCAGGAATTGCAGATACAATAGTGTCCCTCAGCCGACATCACCTCCCTTGAGGCACTCCTCCAGTCTGCTTGCTCCATGCTTGGTCTCTTGCCTCAACTGCCACCACAGTCCTTGCTGGAAATAGTTTGTGAGTTGACTGGACTTCTGTGCTGAGCCCTGTGCCTTATACTCCTGCTATGGGGCCATTTTCAATTTAGCTGTGTTTTAGAAGTGCCCGAGTTGATCTTCAAAGGCCTAGTTTCCTTTGGTGCCCTCACGGGGGGGTATTGAGGCCTAGCTTGCTTGGTGGTGTCCTCTGATGAAAGGCCCTACATGCGCAAGCATCAGGTTTAGCTAATGTGTTTATGTGACTGTTGGCCGAGGAATGTATGCACTTTTTAGTAAAGTGCATGTGCTGAAATATACTGGGAGGGAGGAGAAGAAAAACAGAACCAGAAATGTCCATTCCAGTGGGACATGCCTGAGCATCCAGCAGACACATATCTAGCCTGATATGAAAGCATTACGTAATATTTGGAATTTGATTAAACGAGAGAATTCTGTAAAATTGTAACAATTGACAAACACTGCATGTGATTTTCAATGTTATATTAGGTGTTAGCTAATATTTAGGTTTGGTTAATAAAATGTGAGAGAGGACTGAAAAACTGATTACAATAACCCCATTGTTGGAGTATTTGCTGTTGTTTTGTGCTCTGTCGTCGACCACCTAAGCTGAGAGAAATCTCCTGGCTCCTATTTGTTTTCTTTTCCAGTGATATTGAGATTTCCCGAGCACAGAGTCCAAAAGCTGTTGATGTACTTGCCAAGGAGATAGGATTGCTTACAGATGAAATTGAGATCTATGGCCAAACCAAAGCCAAAGTACGTTTGTCCCTGCTGGAAAGGTTAAAGGATCAACCAGATGGAAAATATGTTCTAGTTGCTGGGTAAGAATGCACAGTAATATCATTAATGTCCGCTCTTTCCACTCATATTAATATAAACATGCAGCTTACGTCTTTCTGATAGACTGCACAAATAAGAACCATGGATGTTTTTTGCCTGTATATTGGCTCACTTCTGAAAGTGAAGTAACACGAGTATTCGAAGTAACACAACTTCTCTTCCAAACTATTATTACTGAAGTAAATTTTATTTTATAAAAACTAGTCTGTTGTAAGCTTCTTAAATGTTATCTGTTGGTGTGTGGAGTTTTTCTTACTGCTTTATCAGAATTTTAAGTGCTTAACTTGAATATTGAAGTCAGCATGTATTGTGGCTGTTTATAAACAAACTTTAACAGAAGCTACATGCTAATCTGTTGATATTAACAATAAATACTTCTTTTATTGAAGAACTGATTATAAAGTTTAAAAAGCCATGTTTTTTTCTCTGAAATGTAGACATGTCTCCAGGCAGGCTTATCCTGCTTGCTGTTCCCACGATTACGGCAAATGCTACGCTCAGCAAGAATTACACGCTTCTTTTCTGAAGAGCTACGGGTTTTTTTCTGTGTTCAGTGATGCAGCAATTTTTCATTCACCTGGCTTGCTCAGTGGAAACTTTTTAATTGTGAACCAACATGAAGGTTTTCATTAATTTTTAAATTACAGTGCATCTTTTATATTCTGAATTAATCTATTTGTTTTCTTCGTTGTAAGTAAACACAGTCAGGTTCAAAATGCAGCTTTAGGCTGATCCGGAAGAAGGCGGTTGTTCCTAACTGCCTTGATCTACCAATTCCTTAGCTGGGGTAGTGTTTCACAAACTGTTTGCTTTACTACCTTTCTGTGGGGAAAACCTGGATTTCTGGCACTGAGATGTAGCCATTGTAGTCTGCGAAACTCGATGTTGCAAAGTTTAAGATAGACAAGTTATGAAGCTCTTTTCAAAACTGTGTCACAGAACTGCAGTGTATAAAGATGTTCCTGGAGGACGTTGGAACAGCTGGTTAACAGAAGGAGATAATAGCTGGTTTCCTTCGGTAGTTTTTTACTTCATATGTTGCTGCTTTGGAGAAAGAAAAGCAGACTCAGCATTTGGCTGAGTTTGAAGAAGGTTGCTACCATGTGCTTGCAGGTTCATGTTGTCAGCGCATCAGCTGGACATCGTGCTGCGGGCTGTGCCAGGCTTCTCTAGCAGCAGAGTCTCACAGAAGCAGAGGTTATCTGCAAATGTCTGGAGGTGGAAGATAGCATGACGCAAAGCCCCGTTCAGGTGGATTTTAGTTGAATGAGATTGTGCACAGCAATGCTTGTATTTCTTCACACTACTTGGTCTCCCAGTCTTCTTCCAGGAAGGTATCTCAAGCAATTGTCTGGATGTTGTTTTGTTGGCCCAGACAGAAGCATACATACATGTGGAAGAAATGGGGAAGTTTTGACTAGCAGGATGAAAAGCTGTCAACAAATAGAAAATTATATCTTCTTATGTTCATATAACATGTGAACTGTGTTTAAAAACAAATGGCTGGGTTTGGTATCTACACAACTTGAGTACATAGTATTTTGCTATTTGTAACTTCTTTGAAGTCATTGCATCTCGTGGGGTGAGTGCAAAGCCACATCTGTGGCCCGGGAGTGCCTGGGGAAGGTGGCTAAAATAGCAGGAATCTTCTCTTCTGAAAGAGTTCCAAATTTTTACTTGGAAATATTGTACATTTAAAATGCATATATAACTTGTGTTTATGTGTTCTCAGCTGTTCTCATTTGCTTAAATGACTGTGGCAGACAATGACTTTAAGTAAAGTGGGGAACTGCATCTGGTGGGGAAATGTTCAGTGCAATAAAAAAAAAATCACCTAAATGTGGAAATAGGGGGGTGATATAATATCCTTAGTTGTCTTCTTCATTCTTTCCCTGCCAAGGCAAGGTCAGCCAAAACCTGCCATTTGGATTATTATGTTTATTCATATTAACCAAAGGTGTTTAGAAGTTCTTTTAGAATGATGCAGTATAGATCTTCAGAATAAGTTTTCAGTGCTTCAAAGGAGACATTAGGATAGATTCTTATACTTCAGGATATTTGGTCTGATGGAAAGATTATTATGTATGATGGGAACTTCTCATATCTGAGGGGAGTGAAAAGTGTGTGTGTGTGTATATTCAACCAGCGGCAAAATCTCCAGCCTCAATCCATGATGCAGCCAGTAACATTTGTGCCTGTAATTCCATAATCAGGTTTAAATGTTTCAGGATGTCTAGGAATTGTAAATACTTGCTGCAAATGCTCTTCTAGTTTATTCCTATGTGCTAGAGCCCAAACTTTTTGTTCTGAATAGCAAAATGCAGCCAAATATAGCCTTTATCTCTAAGGATAGGTGTATTTTATGACTTTTCAAAAAGTTGCTACTAACTGGAATGTCTTTTTTGCACTTTCTGAATGTGCACAAATATGCTTAAATGCCTGCTCTAATACATACATTATATGCTGAAAAACTGCAGTTTGACTAATAGATCATGTCACCTCAGAATAGGATGAAGACTAAAGTTCTTCGTAACTTCCATTTTCTTCTGTAGGGAGCATTCTTTTCACTTTTTTTCATTCTCACTTTTTTTTTTCTTCCTGTGTGTGTTACTTATTATAGGGCACAGACACCCTGGGGTCAGAGCCTCACCCGTTATGGAGTAATCAGCACCTGGGCATCAACTGCCAGTATACAGGCTTTTCAGTGTGCTAAAAAAAAGTTACATTGCAGGATATGTTAACTCACTGCCTCCCATTCACCGCAAGCTGAGAGAATACAAATGAGCAAAGTGCCTGGGTGACCTTGTAGCTAAGTTTAATGCCTGGGGTAACCTAATCATGCAGTCAAGAAAGCAGACAGCATATCGATAAACACAATATGAAACTGCATCTAAAATTTGTTAGACTTTGTGTGTGTTCCAGTGTTTTGTTTTGAAATGCTCCAGTGCTGTGGCTTTTAACAAATAGTTCTGGAAGCTTGTTCCTTTCAAATATGCATAGGTATTTTAGGGGAGGAATAACACAATGTGAAAAAATGAATAAATATAATGCTGCTTTTAGTATGAGGTGTGCTGGATTTTGAATGCTGGAAAATTTAGTACTTTTCACCTGATGTTAATAGATTGTTTTGTGATGAACTACGTTTTTGGTAAGATAAAAATGGAGGAAAATGAATACTAACTTAACATCTGTGCAGGGTGTAGGATAGTAAATATCTTAGGGACAGAATTTTCAGATTACAATTGCATTTTACTTCTAGGGAGTATGTATTGGATTGTATTTCTGTTTGCTGTATTTCTTGAGCCACAGGGTGCTAAAAATAAAACCGATAAACACAGAAAAAATGCAAGGAAGAATGAGAGGGGAAAATATCACTGTGCTGATGCACAGAAACATCTGACAGTCCAAAGCAAAGTCGTGGTTAAGACAGTTTGTCATGTATGTGTCATGTCATTGCATACTCCTGATTTGGATTGGCTTGGATGGGTCTTCGTCAGCTTTTGAGAATTTGTAGCTGTGGATTCCGCAGTGTTCCTGGCTTTTTTCAGTCATTTTAGCTTCACAGTGATGACTCTGCTTTCGTAGCTGGAAGCTCGAGTCCCATTTTGAGGATGACTGCAATGTTGCTGTAATCTCACCTCGATGAAGTCGCGGGAGTTGTAATACTGCTGTGCTCAGAAATACATTTCCCACAGTTGTAATCCTGGATGAGAAATGTATGTGGATGAGGCTTTCATTTATGGGAGCTCGACTGCCCCTGCCCTCCGTAGCTAGGCTTCACAGGTTTCCATGTGGATCACAGGAATGGTCAACTCATTAAAGTCTTTGAAATTGCTGATACTGATGAGTTGAAGATAGGAAATTTGAAAGAGCAGAATTGTCACATATCCAGTAAAGTTCTCGCTGGAGTCGCAGCGGCTGGGGTAGCTGTGAGGAGGTTACAGCTGGTGCAGTGTATCATCTCACTGTTCGTTTATTTTCTCTTTGGGAGACCTCATGTAGCTTTCCCACAGAAACAGCTCCACTGTAAGCTAATGTGATGTATAACAAACAAACAAAAAGTCTGCATATTCTTATCTTTGTTTTGATATACATCAAGAGAGAAGGCTTTCCAATGTTATGGAAAACTTGCTTTGCCAAGGAGCTGGTGACCGCTTGGTAGGTGGCAAAGTGAGAACTTTAAGGAGGAAAATTATTGTGGAGTTTCTGTGTTTGGATTGAAAGCATATTAAAGACATTTAGAGAATAATGCCAATGGGTGTAAAAGTCTCTTGAAGTTCATTGAAATTTACTGTATTTTAAAAGGAGGGGTTTTTTTTCCTAGATTTGCATAAGGTCAAAACACAGCATTGCACAACTGAGCTAAAGTTAGCCATTGGCGGTTGTAATTTTATACTCATACGAGCAAGTGACCTAAGTTGCAAGAGTGTAGGCTCAGTAGTGTAGCCAGCAAAAACATCTTGATGTTCACAAAACAGCTTAAGTGGATTATTTATTTATAAAAACTGATCAGAGTAGACCAGGTACAAAAGAGAAGATATTTTAAATGAACTTTCTAAGAAAATGATTGGAATAGAAATTTCTTTTTATTTCAGACACTTTTTAATTTTTTTTTTTCTTTGATCTGGGTCCTGTAACTATTGACACAATTAAATAACTGTTTAGCTCTCAAGGGTTATTCTGTAGTGTCTAGGCTGCTACTGAGCCTCTGAGAATCAAAGATCTCCTGCCAGGGTGTCTCATGTGAGATGAGTCAAGGATAGGTAAGTGAATCTCCTTCTCTGGAGATACTGAAACCCACCTGGGTGCAATCCTGTGTATTATGCTCTGGGCAATCCTGCTTTGCTGGGGAGCTTGGGCTAGATGATCTCTGGAGGACCCTTCCAACTCCGAGCGAATGTGATTCTGTGAATTGTCCAGACCAGTCTGGCTTCACTGAACAGTATGATTTGCAGAGTCCCCACATTTTGTTAGTTTTTTTAGTTGGAAAGAGACTGAAAAGTCAGGTTCCTGGTTTTGACTTCTCAGGGGTTTGTGCCTATTACCTGCTGCAGTGGGCAGGATTTTTGGGAAGGTGTCACCCAAGTGCTGTAGATGGTTTATGGAAGTCCGGTTGCTGGTTTTCTTCCTCTGTCACAGCTGCCTTGAGACCTTTTGAGCCTTTAGATCTTCATCTGAGTAATTGTAGTTCCAGGAAAACTAAGGATCACAGGGCTTCTCGGAAAGGAGAGAACAGATTAAAATGAACAAACCCATCTGAGGAACACATTGAAAATGTAGGCTGTTAAAGCCAAGCAGATGATAAAATCAGGGTGCTGTCTGCAAAGACGTGTCCATTTATTACTATAAAACGTTGTGTACCTGCATGAGCACATGTGTGAAAATAAGCTTGCTCTAGTACATTTTGCTGGGTGGAGGGTGATTCTCCCAGAGTGCTGTGTTCTCATTGGGAATGTGGCTGGTGAAGAGTATGATTGCACTGGAAATTCAGTAGCAGTGAGATCTGTTCCTCCCAGTTTGATCAATGAGCAGTGGTGTGTTTTTCTTTTTGTTCTCTGGTAAAAGGTTTTTCTCATAGAAAATTCTCAGTGCTTTCTGACTCATTTTACGTAGTCATTTTAGAATAAGCCAGCTGGACTACCAGAGCATTTTAGTGATGTGGTGGTTGATTGTGTGTATCTTCTGCAAAAAGTAGATAGTATTCTTCTTGCAACTACCAGCATGCCTTCTGGTTACGCATTTGTCAATTCCAGTTCCTTTCCTCTACTGGAAAGTATGCTGCATCTTTGATTCTGAGTTGCTGGGTTTCATAAAAGCTGTAAGGAGCCCCTGTGCTGCAGTGCATGCCAGCTCCGCCTGCTGCCATATTTTGAGCTACACTTGAGTAAATAACCTAATGAAGGTGTCTCTGAATTCTGTCGAATGTGAACCTCGTGTGTCCAATGTTCAAAAATAGAGATAACCACTGACAGGAAGCACTGCAAATACCAATTGTTCTGTCAGCAGCGCAGCTGTTGTGCACACTGAGCTTCTGGGGGCTTGTGGGAAGTCCTTTACTGGTAACTTCTAGTAAACAGTTACAGGTGTCTTTTTCATAGCAGAGTAAACTGCCTTTTGATTTTGGTTGGGTGGATGGATGTGGGGGTTTTTTTTGTTTTCTTGTTGTTTTTGAAATAACTAACAGCTTTAAGAGTTAATCTTGTTAAGTTTAAATGAGTGCAGTGATGCCTCAAGTTTTCTTTTATACTTTTTTCATCTGACTTTAATGCATAGGAATAGGAGGATGAGTTTAGGGCAATAGACAAAAGTGAACGAGATAGTAGGAGAACCATGCTAATAGTGATTGGAATAGATTTTGGGCAACTGGTGTTAGAACAGTCGTCAGGAGGGTGATACTGGTAGTGCAAGTGAGTTAACCTAGCTGTGGTGCTCTGAAAGAAGCATCTGTAAAAAGTAAGGATCCTGAGACAAATCGGTAGAAATAGTGGTGGGTAAAACAGAAACTATCATTGTAGCAACAGTAAAACCCAGCAGGCTTGCTGTGGTGACAATGCAGAGATTAAAAAGTATCCGTTCTTCTAGGAGCTAGGAACATAAAAGAAATGTAGTAGCATTCTGTGCTCCTGAGGTAGTCAGAAGGAAAAAAAGTGTGGAAAAAAAGCAACAGGGACCAAAATGGCTTTTGAGAATAGATCAAATGGATTCTTCTTAGGATCTAAATCTCTGTAAGTCTCTCACCTTTTGTTGGCTACACATAGGTATTTGGCTAAAACTTTGTGAATGCCCGTCTAAGTCAAGGGAGCGCAGTTCTAGGAAGGCAAGATGATGAGCTAGACTGGACAGTTATTGATGATGCTTTTAGAATTTGATGGTTGCGAAACATGACATTATAAACAAGGGAAAAAATTACTTGAAAAATGCCCAAATTAAGTAACGTGTAATACATGGTCATAGTTCAAAGCTATCAGCAGAGAAAATACTATTTCTGAAGTGTCAGGGAGTCTCTTATAGATGTACTAAACCCGACTGATTTTGCTGAAATTTGAGTTAAAACAGTACTTTTCTAAATAGGAAAATTCTTTCCTATGACAGAATAGAAGATATTAATTTGGCTTGCCTCCTACTGCCTAAATTTTTCCAGACATATCTAAAAAAGGCTTTTTTTTTTTCCAACAGAAAGCCCAGGATCCAATGATGACATAAAATATAGATTTGTGACAAATCAATGTTTTTCATGTGTTTATGTTTTGTGGGATGAGGAAAGGTGTTTCTCAGTCTGTGCGCTGAGCTGAATCTTAAAAGCAAGGAGAGAATATGGATGTCACCTTGCATTTTACAACTTTACTAATGACTTTATTCCATTTGAGTTGTGATCTGAGGATAGCAATATCTTGGGAAAATTACTAGTTGGGAAAAGAAGTGTTTCTAGTAAGAACTAGATGTTTTAGCTCAAGTTTGAAAGTCATAGGATAAGGGTTCCTCTTTGACTAGGATGCGTGTGCATGCTTGTATTTCCTTGGGAATTAACATTAGTTCTTAATGTCATCTTCACTAAGGTACTTACTTCTCTGCAGGCAGTGAAGGCAGCAAATATATGAATGATTATACTTTGCCAAACAGTAGGACGTGTGTGAGGGATGAGAGTGGAAGAAGGACTAGCGCTTTTCTTCTTTTGCCAGTCAGAAGGGGAAGTGTCATGCCTGAAATGAATCATTTGAATGCATCTTGGAGTTTTGAGATGTGTTCCTACATTAAGGGGGCAAAAGGAAAAAAAAGAGAAAAAAAACCCAGCACCTCTAACTTTTAACCTGGTTCATAAACAAACTGACCTTGAAAGTAGGGAGGACATCACCTAAACTGAAGTATTCCTCATTCACGGAAGACTGGTGAAGTTCTCTGCTAGCAAAATCAGTTTCATTAAAGGGAAGAGAAGAGAGTCTTTTCGTGGAGTCTTTTACAGTCTCTGATTCTGAATGTCTAAAATTCTCTCCTGAGTCTAGATGTGGGAGTTGTAGCATGAGATTTTTGAGCTTTTGTATGGGAGATTGGACTGTGGTTGTAATTGTCTTTCATCACCCTTAAATCTGCAAAAATATAATGAAATATAAGTGTAAAACAAATCATGTTCAGGTGAATATAGTGATTTTTGTGTTCTGTTTGTTTTTTTTAAAGCAGCTGGTCTGTCATTGTTGAGGATTATAATGACATGGAAACTGGGGAGGGGTAGATGAGCTCTACAAACAAAAGTGTTGGTTATTTAACTTAAAATGTTCTATTATTCAAAGTTTGAGCAGTGGGAATAAAGCATCTCATGCATTACTACAGAATAGTATTAATACATGCTTAGAGTATCTTGATGGATGGTTTGTTAGTGAAACTTTTGTGCTGTAATAAAAATGTCTAAATTCAATATATTCTTTTTAGAACTTTTGCCAAAACAATCTTCTCTTTTTCTGCTATCATAGTAAATTGCTTAAATAGAAGACACATGTATATTAGCATTCCAGCTTGAGCTTGGGGTTTAACATTGTGGCAGTATTTTTGTCAAGATAAAATAATCTTATTGAAATTTGCTGTACAAATATTCTTCATTGAAATCAAAAGCTGTAAGTTCTGATATCCTTAGCCAGGCTAACATCAGCAAAGAATTTGAGTAATCTTTTTTCTTGTTTTGCTAGAATAACCCCTACACCCCTAGGAGAGGGGAAAAGCACAGTCACAATTGGTCTTGTTCAAGCACTTACTGCACACCTTCACATTAATTCCTTTGCCTGCCTGAGACAGCCTTCTCAAGGACCTACTTTTGGAGTTAAAGGTACATAATATTTCCAGACTCTGTGACCTCTCTCAGATTGAAAGGAAATGCTGCTTTTTTCTTTTTTCTTTTTTTTTTTTCATTTTTTAAGTCCTTAGTTACTTCACTAGCTCAGTGGATTTTCTGAATGGTAGCATATTGGATTTTTTTATAACTATATAACTAATAGATAAAGGTTTCTTGCACACATCTTCTCATGCAAGGTTCCTATATATGTTTATGTACTTAACGTGTATTGATAATGAAGGTAAAGACCAAACATAATGAAAGGAACAGGGATGTGTTAGCCAGGAGGAGTTTTGTGTGAGTATGCACCATTCCAGCCACTCCTCTTGCTTCGACAAATCTCTAAAGATGTCTCTAACCATTACTGTTTAATTCTTCCTTGAGAAGGGGTCTTAAATGCGCTAGTATTGATTGGAAATATCCAAGCTAAGGAAGTTGGCAGTGATGCATAGGGTTCAGCTGTGTCTGCTCATAAATTTGGCTGGGTCTGAACCTCTTCTTTCTGTTCTGAGTTGTCACCCCTAATGGTGGGCTGCTGCCTTTTTGCCTAGAAACCCTTTAAGAGCCTGAGGGCCAGGTAAGAGCCAGAGTTCAAGCCTGTTTTCAATGCTGATAGGAAGTAATGCAATCTCTTTTTTTTACCATTTCTCAGCTGAGATTGGTGCCTAACTGGGCAAACATTCCCCATCTGCTCTACTTTGCTTTGCTGAAGTTTAAGTTAACAAGTTTGATTTCAGCTGGAAGGCTCCTGGTCCTTGGTGCTTCTCAGCCAAGACTGGTGCATGTGAGTGCTTTAATCCCTCCACTCAACTTGTGCATAGCCTGTAGCAAATTCCTTTGCCTGTACCCTGAGA